AAGGGGAAACTAAATGTGCAAATGTTAGAAGATCTGAGCAAAATGAAACTGGCTAAATGACACACTGCAATAAATCGGTCAGTCAGTGACACTGACTTCACACTGTTACAAGGATAGAATAAATAGGCCTTCCTCGCGGTATTTTCTCGTGTGTGTGTGTGTGTGTGCTGCCCCCAACGGTGAGTGTCCCACAATCTAGACTGGGTGCGACAGTGATCTCCCGCAATCGCAACATGTTGGGAATGTTTTTTGTGCGAGATTACCCCAGGGGTAGTTCTCTAAATAAAATATGGTACGCAAGCTGAAGTAAAACAAACTCGTAAAAAGGGTGTTATTTAGTTATTTGACACGTGTATAGTAATAAAGTGTGAAAAAAGGAATCTCATGAATTCATGTTACCCCAACTTGGAACAGTATGAATTTAGTATGTATATAGGGTATATATTTTAAGTTTCTGCATTTGAAAAAGGATATAATTTCACATGAAATAAGTACGTGTTTAGAGGATTTTTTGAAAAGCTATACTTCAGCATGGGTACCAGGTCTGACTTGGAGCATGCTTGGAGTAACCCCCCTCCCCCAAGACGATTACAAACAACTTGAACGATACCTCGACTGCAGAGGCGGCGGCACAAACATTTTCACGGAGGGGTGAGATCTTACTAGGGGTCCGGTGACATGCCCCACTTTAAAATATTTTAAATTTAGACCCTCTGAAACGCTATTGCCTGCAATTTGAGGGACAAGTTTTGCTAACACAAAAGGTTTCAGCTTTATTCATTGGAGGGGCGACCGCCACCTCGAAAAAATGTTGGGGACGTTGCTCCTCCAAAATCAAGCTGAAACCTTCTGACCCCCAATGGATAGGATAAATATAATAGAATACTAAGTAGTACTTTATTGACACCTTAAAGCAAATATTAACTACTAGTCTACTATTAAGTAATAAACCGCTAGTCAGTATTTTGATTGTGAAATTCATTCATATAGATCTTGAATAAAGTTGGGCGTAGAGGGCAGCCTTGTTTTACTCCATTGGGTAATTTAAAGTGTGGTGAGGTGATATCATTTAACTTTAGTATAAAATCCATGTTGGTGTACAATGATTTTATAATATTATATACTTTGCCATTGATGTTGTTGTTGAGTAGGGTAGTTTACATTGTAGTGTTGTTCTCCAGATAAATCGTTTTGAGACTTTAAAGCGGAAGAGTCGTCACCTGCGCATGCGTCGGTTGGCCATTGTCATTGTTTACAAACAAGCATCTACCCATGAGCCTTTGCGTTTTTAGCGTGTGTTGTCGTCGTCGCTTGGGACTCAATTCCCGCGCGGAACAGAGACGTATATTATTATCTGCCATAAAACTATATGCTAAAAAGGTCCATGCTTCGTGGCAAATGCAAGCCAATACTTAGTTTTTACCTCCATGGTATGACATTCTCGGCGACAGTTATTGCGCCCTTATCAAGTGATTCACTCGTCCGTCGGCGAGGGCACAATAACTTGGCTGACTACCGGTAATGTCCGACTAGCCAATACTGTAAAATGACTAATTTTCACTGGGTTTAAATTTCACTGATCTACCATTTCAGGCATATTCAGTGGGTTTTAAATTCACGGTTTCGTCATTTAGATAATGTGTTCTACGCTAAATTTGTCATATTCACTGTGTTTAATGTTTCCAGTCAGCGAAATAAGCTAAATTAAAACACAGTGAATAATTACCCCCTTTACAGTATGTGGCAATAGAGAACTTTCTGTGTACTTGAGTGTTTGGTTCCTGTGCATTTCACAATTTACTCTATTTTTTCGAATAACTCGCCTTTTCTACTGTTACATATATCTATGAACATATCTTCTTGTCCGTACGTGTATAATATTCTGTGTTATTTAGTGGAAAGTCATGGATGGGCATTTGAAGGGGAGGGTTGGGTTATG